AACGATAGTCTAAACCCATCCTGGTGCATTAATAAAAAATGTCGGGAAGACAATTTTACTATAAGACATGCCCTGACCCTAATCCAAACTAACCCTTACCCTAACTTTAATTAAAAACAAAAAACACGTGACTGGACACGGCTTTAGACGTCCCCTCAATTAGTAAAGATTTTTGTGTAACTTTCATAAATTACTGCGGCAATATTATAGTTTCGGTCTTTTTATTATTTTTGGGTTATGAAAAAAGCTTTCTATTACATTAAAATATGCTATCCACTAACTTTCATGTGAAATTTCTAAATAAATTAATATATAGAATATCAAGAAAATATATGGCAATTTTTCACGAAAAATTGCCAACTTCAAATTGTATCTCCTCGACGTTCTACATATTAATCTATTTAGAAACTTCGCGTGAAAGAATAATGGATAACAAAATTTAATGAAATAGGGGCTTTTTTTCATAACCTGAAAAATAAATTCACGTTAATAATAAAAATACTGCAGCAACAGTATAATTTCGATAAATTTTAATTATTTTTCAGGCTATGAAAAAAAGCTCTCTATTTCATTAAAATTTGCTATCCAGTATGCGTTCACGCGACATTTCTAAATAGATTAATATGTATAATGTCGAGATACAATTTGAAATTTGCAATTCTTCGTGAAAAATTACCATATATTTTCTTGATATTCTATATATTAATATATTTAGAAATTTCGCACGAGAGTTTAGTGGATAGCATATGTTAATGAAATTGAGTGCTTTTTTTTTATAATCAGAAAATATAAAAGTGACTGAAATTTATCGAAACTATACTATTGCCTCAGTAGTTTTTTACGAATGATTTTCACATAGGACTACATAATAGACTTGATTTACATAGTGCATCGAATTCCCCACCTCTACGTGGTGGTTGAGACGACTAGGAGATATATTCTCCGAAACCAAGTATTTCAAAAACTTATTTACTAACGTTTATTTTATTTAGCATATAGGAATTTATTATGTTGAATAATTTAACGTCCATAAAAATGTGTAGTTTTTTTAATTGTATGTCTAATAAATTATTAATAATTTAATAAAATTATTTAATAAATTTAAGTGTGAAAATATTTAAATGCAAAAAAATTTAATAATGTTAGTCACGAACATAATAGTAATTTTGCCTGCTTGCGAGTTATTTCGAAATAAGATCAAATCTAAACTTGAAGTACATATAAAAAGTTTGAAAATCTTATCGGTAATCACAAGAAAATTAAACATTGATAGATTTTTAGCGCCGTAACTATGTATATGTTTAATAGATAAAAAACTTGCATCTTAGAACGACTAATGGCTTTAGAATTAGCATATCTCACTATGTACTATACCATCACGAAATCTATAATAACCAATTATAAATTTTTATATATTTTTTTTACAACATATATACAGATTTACAAATTTGTTATAAGGAAAAATATGCAAGTTTTTTAAAATTTATTTAAGAGGCCCGGATCTTGTAAATGATAAGAGTACAAACGCCGCCCCAAATCCGGTCTGTTTTGTAGTGGAGTTTTTCTTTCTGGATCCACGAGGGCTGGCTTAATGCTCCTTTCCTTTTATTCGACTTTTTGAGAGGATGGGTGCCACGAACATCCCCCAACATGTCATTCCTGGTTTCAGGAGTAGGTTGCTTCCGCCAATTTAATGTCCTTTACTTCGGATTCTTAAAAAACGGACTTCAGAAAGTATATTCGATCATAAATTTATATACCATCTAAGATTGGATTCAAAAAAATTCTGGGAAAAGCAATCTATCTAAACGATTAACAGTCAGGAAATAAATATTAGATCATATGATTGTTGCGATGTGACGTTTTGACAAATGCACTTCTTTGGGCAGATCATGTGTAAATTATAATTTAAAGGTATACAGCGTCATAAGCAAACTAAATAACCCATCTGAGGGCTTTTTGCTAATATTATTTTTGGCAGTACATAGACCTCATGTCCTTTGAATTCTTCATTTTCTTTTTGTGGTTCGCTAGAAGCACTTTAACCCACATCGGACTTTCGATATTATCAAAATAACTCCGCTAAGCAAGCAAGTGACTTTGAATAAGATGGTTGGATTTCTGCGCGTAGGCAAATTTGCCCGCGATTGCTAGACGGTGTAAGAGATAAGTTTTAAAATTAAAATTGTTTAACTTGGATTTTTTTTATGATTCCAGATGAGCGGTCAATCAAGAACTTTTTTTATATTAAGGAAAACAAAAATTCAACTTTGTATAGCCTAATATTTTTTTATTGATCCAATTCAAAAAGCATTAAAATTTTTATATTGCTAGATAATGATTATTTATAGATACAAAATACTGTAATTGCTAAGCATATACAGAGATAAGTTTAGATAGTATAGCATTTTTTTGTAATAAAATAACCATTAACCTTATAATTGTAAAAAGAAGATATTAACTCTTATTTTTAATTTCTTCTTATCCATATCAAGTAGTAGATACATATAACAACCATTTATCAATTAGAATATTTACAATAAGTTATTCACGTTTTATTTTAAAACTGCAAAGCAAAAATAGTGTAATTCTACAGTAATTAATGATTATGCAAAAATTCAAAGATACACAAAGCAAGCAATTATTCCTAGTTGTTTTATATCTTTAAATTTCTTTTTTATATATCTTTCTTTTGATACAAATGCTTTATCCTTATGATTGACAGAAGTTAATACAGTCATGATCTCACATAATAATGAACAATGAGTTACCTTAAATGTTGAATTGAAACTATTTACTATTTATATTTGTTTAGAATGAATATCGGAGTATCTATTGCTACCTCATACGTAATACTTTATGAACACAATGTATTGTTTATATAAATAAATCACATTGTTTATAAAGAAAAATAGTACACAATTTCTTTAGGATCTTATGATTTTCATATAAAAAAATTAATCGTATTAGTTCTAAGCAGTTCCGAATACCAAAATCCTTTATTTGTTTAAAAATATTTTACTACGTTTATGGGTGAAAGTACATAGTTGATAAAAATACAGTCATACATATTTCCAAAAAGAGACAACAACCAATATTTATTATAATGAAATCTTAAATACGTAATATTTTATTTTAGTAAGTATTTTATAAAGCTTTTGAAAGACTTGGCGTTTTATAATGAATCTTGAATTGTCATTATTATTTAAAAAGAACGGCATTGATAAATCATTTTGTTATATTAGTAATAATAAAATCCTACTTATACACCGCTTTAATATTCTGTAGAAACATATTTTTGCTTAGCTTTACTTCTAACAATCAAACTGTAAAAATATGATCTTTAAAAGAACAAATCCTTCTAAACCCAAAACTAATTTAAAAATCCGAAAAAAAAGAACTCCAAGTGGGTTTATACTTTATAAAAACAGAAACAAACTAAACCCTCGTGTTGCCAGTGAATTATATAAAAAGGAAAGCGATGATGTCATTACAAATTTTGAAAGACAAGCGGAGATGATGCGATTCGGGACTACATCAAACTTTATTAACCTGGATGCATTAAACTTTATTAACCTGGATGCAAAATGTTTTAAAAATACATCAGATGCAAAATTTTTTGAAAATTCATCTGAACAAATTGACGATACGTGCACAACTGTTTCAACCGCTAATGAGCCAAAAACGAGTCTGCCCTCCAGTTTTAATAACGTTACCGACGATCCAGGGTCACAATCAATCATTTCAAATATCTTGTGGGATAATTAATGATTCAAATGATACTGTTTCATTTAAATTATGTTACTGAAGGATCAATGCTACTAATGTGAAGTTTAATGATAATCAGATTGAGCTAGAATCATAGAATTTTATGGCGTGTAATCTTGTATATTACATGGTGTTTATTTAGAATTTCAATTTGTTATAACTATATATATATATATTTTTTGTTCTATACCTGTATATTTTGTTATTAGCATGAGATAAAGAATGGGAAGAACAAAGCATAGAAGTTAAATGCCGTAGAGTGTCGCTTTTTTAAACAAGCGTTAGAATTCTGCAACTAGAATTAATAACAACTTATAATCCAATTTACAAATAAAGATTTTGACGTACCCTTTAAATAATATATAGGATGCAAACATATTCAGTGTTGGCTTGTGACCCATTATAACTATTGGCTAATTATGGGTTATATATAATCTTATTACCTATTATCGTTATGGTCATCTAAAGTTGGATATGGCCTAAAATGGCCAACACTTATAATAGCCGAGAATATTTGAAGACCGATTTTAGTACCGACTGTGTAAAGATAACATAAGAGATTAATAGTTGATTCATTATCTATAAGTATTGTAATAAAACACAGCTTTCTGTAGTTTCATCTAGGACAGAGTAAAGGCATGTGAAATAGGTACGAAAAACTAGAACGATTTTAATTATTTCTGTAATTGCAAGATATACCAAGCTGTCAGAATTTCGAATTTGAATCCATAGAAATTGGCAAAGCTATCAGATATGTAACAAAAATTAATATTATGCAATGATCAGAAGTGCTGGCAATACTGTAATTATATCTAGTCATTATTAAGCAATTTTAATTTTGTTTTTTTTAAAAAAAAAATTAATACTCCGCAAAATCAAATCAAATTTTGAATTTGAACCAAATATTTGAAATTATTTGACCAAATAAATTAAAAATTTGCGGAGAACTAAAAATTTTTTTTATATTTATTTTTTTATTCCGCTTTATAAGAAAAAGTTTATTTATAAAGTAAAAAAAAATTGAGCATTTAATAAGTAGCTAGATATTTGCTAAATATAAACATTAAATAACTACTAAAGCAACTAGATGTTTACTAAATATAAATATTAAATACTTTCAAATATTAATTTAACTTTAATACAACAGCTGTTTACTTTTAAAAACTTCGTTTAATTAAGAAAAAGCGATGTATCATATTAAGAATAAATAATAACTTTTTTATACCGGATGTTTGAAAAGTCCCTAGACAGAATCCTTTTGTTAATCAATAAATTATATATTTTTGATGGAATAAATGTTTTAGATAGACCCTTTTACTAATAAAAATGGAACACTTTGATAATCAAAGCGATTAACCAAAAGGTCCTGTCTAGGAGCTTTCAAACACCAAGCATAATATTTATATATTTTATGCAAATTAAGATAGGATAAAAGTTTTAGATAGACCCTTTTTATTAATTAAAAACGTAACACTTCTGATAATCAAAGTGATCAACCAAAAGGTTTTGTTTTAATGCTTAGTATTTTTATAAAAATTTTAATTGTATGAGTTTAAACATTTAAACAAAACATTGTCCAAAAAATATAACAGAGAAGTTTGAATATCAAAAATATTTAGCTTCTTGTATTTAAATTTAAGATTCAACTGTAGGCTTGATTACGGTAGAAATTGTCCGGATATTATTAAATTACTCCATCACGGCAAATTTAGTCTTTGGTCTCCAATTCCAAATTTATAACGCGTCTAACTCATCCTTCCCACGTGCTAACCCATCTTCCTCACTTTTGACGTACCTTATTAGACGTAGAAATTTATTATCGTTATAATGACGCACCTTCACTTGGAAATAGTAGTATTAGTGGTCAAAATTTTCAAAATTTGGGGTGTTTCCGCAATTGGAGCTGTTAAAAGTCCGATCTTTTAGATTAGGACTCAGTCCGAGTCGTGCATATATAATAATAATATACAGTACTTTATTTGGGGGGTCCTTAAAGCCCGGCAGAAGTTAGGGTTACTTTTTTGATTCAGTTAGAGTTAGCGGTTTATTAAAATATCAAGAACGCAAGTTATGCAATATGTAGATCAATATGTAAATCTGCCCCGCTTTAAGGGACCCCTTTATTTGGTCAAATCGATCTCGATGTAAATTAGCCAATCACATGCATGCCCTTCTAGAACAAAAGGCGGTTATCCGGGTAATTTATTATAGCAATATGGTAAAAATGTTTACCCGCGTAAAATTTCTAGATTATGGGAATGAGTTCGCCAGAGCAACCACCAAAAGTACGAGTCAATTATTGCCACAGCTATATCTTAATAACCAGTATATTGCTTTGTTACATATTTTAAGAAATTTTCACAGCATTAAAGCTGCATGCAGGTGCTATTCAACAAAAATTATGCAGTGGCTGTGGCGTCTTATCATGTGCCCGTACATTTGGTGGTCGCCCTGGCGAACTCTATGCGAACCGACCCATTTTCTACTTCCCTATTTTTGAAATTTACATCGATTAAGGAGAGTGCTGTTATTACGTAATTTCTTTTTATATGGTCAGATCGAATTAGACGTGATATGACCTCCCCTCTTAAATTACGTGATAAACGGTACTTCCCAACCAATTGTAAACTTTTAAAAATGAAAAAAAAAATAAAATAAAAGCAGAAGTCCAGATAAGTCTAGATCTATCTTGAAACACTAGTAAAAAGGTCGGGTGAGAAATTTTGCAGTAATGAGTGGTACTTTTCTTAATTTAAACCAGTTCTAACCCTAATTTTAATTATTTTAGCTTTAAATACACTTCCAAATAAGGAATAAAAATTGGGTCGGTAAAATTAATCCCCGCAGCACAGGCCGGGCCACATTTTTTCCTTGTTCACACTAGGTTTGTCCCGTGTGCAGGGCTTGCAATGGAGTCAATGAAGCTGTGAAAGGAGTCAATGGTGGAGTCAATGGATACTGGTTTTTTGAGCTCCATTCACATAATCATTGAGTTCCAGTTCCATTAGCTCCTTACCAACCCTGCTCGTAAGAGATTCTGATTAAAATAAGCTAGTAAAAAGGTCATGTCGATACCGAGGACTCGTCATAAAATTTCATTATAAAACATTATTATTTGCATATTATTTAAAACTTTATAATTAGCGTACATACATAAACTACGTATTAAGTTTATTTTACATATGCACGTATATGTAATTAATTAAATCATTGTAAGAATGTATTATTCTATCAGCATTAATACGCATGAACTTTAGGATTTTAGGATGTGGATCCTATCAGAGAATTTACTAATGAAACTCATACATATGTAAGTGACGTATGTACATACTTGAAACTCATACGATCTTGAAACAATTTGGTAATGAAATTCATACACATTTTAACAATTTGGTAATGAAGTTCATACTTAAAATAAGCCGTTAGATAAGGATGGCAGAAGGTTTTTATTACGTAATTCAAAACAGGTTATGATTATATATGATATTAACTATATTTAAATCCAAATTTTACTATTCACAAAAATGTTTAAAACTGTTTTTTTTTACTTATATAAAGATAGGATCAAAGGTTGAATAGACACTGTGGCGGATTAGCATGATTGGAATCTGACTTAACTATATACGCAATAATGAATACGATAAGAGTTAGATCTATCAACCAGCCCGTGTACAATACTTCTAATGTTTACCTTTTGGATAAAGAAAATCTCGATACAAATAATCCGATACTTTTGAATTACAAACTTTTTTAAGCTACTCATTATCTTTAAATCTGCTGCGATACGATATTTTCCCTTGTGCAACAGCTGTTGCTCATCTCATTGTAATACTAAGATAGACTAATGTTACATGTTATGTTCCAGTTACGTGTTCTGTGCCAGTTATTTACCCTATCAACGAATTTACTTGCATTAAAGTACAATATAAAATAAGCAATTGATACAGATGACCCCTGACAGAATACTCTTAGTAAAACTATAAATAGGGAGGTTTCCTCTTTACGATTTCTTCGTCTTTGATTTCTTAGTTATCGAATATTAAATTTTTCATCATCACACAAGTATTACAAATCATTATGGTAGGTTATTCCTTCTGATATGTGAGAATTTTGCTAATATTTTTTGATCTCATTTTTTTCTTAATATTTTGTTTGCAAATCTTGTTTTTTATTAAAAGCAAGAGCATCTATATAAAATTTTGGTTTTAGGTGATCTGGGAACAGGAAAAACCAGTATAATCAAACGTTATGTTCATAATCTTTCTTCCATGAACTATAAGAGTACTGTAAGTATTATTATGGATCGAATTTTATATCGAGAACAAATATGGATAAACCGTTTAAAAAAAAGGACTTTACCATAAACTTGATTCGTAATAATACTCGTTGGTAAGCGTATTAAGGCTCCTATGGTTTTGATTTTTTACTTAACGGTTTGCCAAATATTTTTGTTATAAAATCGCAAGTCTTATGAGAATAAATTATATTTCAGGTTGAAGAGTTGTCTTGATGAATAATCAACTGATATGCCTTTTTAATCGTTTTTTAATCATCAGATTGGTGTTGACTTTGCTCAAAAAATCTTGCAATGGTCGCCGGACAAATTGGTTAGATTACAATTGTGGGACATCGCTGGGCATGAAAAATTTGGAAACATGACAAGAGTAAGTTTGCAGAAAATTAAAATGGAAAAGAGATTCAATCTGAAATAATTTTTATACATAAATTTATGTTTTTTTTTGTGATCAGTTTTATTATAAAGAAGCAGTTGGGGCACTCATAGTGTACGACGTAACACGGTCTTACACTTTTGAAGGAGTCTCCAAATGGAAATCCGATCTAGATCAGAAAGTAACCTTGCCCGAAGCTTGGGGCGGCGGTCCTATTCCGGTTGTATTGCTGGCTAATAAGGTTAATAAAATGTGAATCGTATACGGATATACTGTATCATGATTTTTAAATTTATTGACTAACGCTAAACATTCGCTTATTATAGTGTGATCTTAACCATGAAGGACCTAATACAAAATCTGATGCCGAAATATCACAATACTGTGAAGAGAATGGTTTCGCAAAATGGTAATTAATTTCACAATTTTTCGTAACTTAAAAACTTTTCTTTTTTTATTAAATCAAAATTCTTTAATATGTTAATAATCCGATTTAGGTTTAAGACTTCGGCAGTGGATAATAAAAACATTGAAGAAGCTGCACAGTTCTTGGTTTCAGAAATTTTGAAAATCGATCAAAAGAACGATAGGAAGGAAAACCATGGTTATTTAACCAACAGAAATGATGAAATCATACAAATTGGAAGCGAAAAAGAAAAACCTTCTCGTTGCTGCTGATCTCGGTATCACTGATCACATACAAGACTTTTTAAAATAAAAGTCGAGATACTAGTCAAGATCAAGATACTTGACGCATTTTTTTTTTATACAGATCCGTGCGATTGACTGAATTAAAACTATGTAAAAACTTCCAATTGAGACGAGCCATTGCTCTCTCGTCTTGTTAAAGGATTGAATAGGATTGCATAGGATCGTATAGGATTGTACAGGTTGTTGGGTTTTGGAATAAAATATGGAAATAAAATCTGGGAAAATTGTATTCCGTTTTACGTATAGATT